GTCATCGGCGACTCATGGCAGTCCAGCTCCAGGTCGAGCTGTTGTTCACCATCTTAGTTGTAGAGGGCGTAGAGTCACTGGCCCTCATGTGGGATCCGAACTGGGACCCTACTGCTCAGAACTGGTGTCCCAAGCCAACTCCTAACCAACGTGCCGCTCAGCCGGCCCTGGGGTCTCTTTCTTTTTTTTTTTTTTCCCCTCCCCCCCCCGGGGTCTCTTTCTTATACAGCTAAGTCTATGCCCTAAATGACACAACATCTGACCCCAAGAAAATCTGACCAAGACGTCATCCTTTAGTTCCCTAGGTGGCTCCAACAGGTTCCTGCTCACCCCCAGCTTGAGCCACACCCAACCAAAGGCCATCTATGCTCCATCCTTGGGCTGATGGGACAGGCCCCTCAGGACTCAAGACAGAGGTGACATGGCCCGAGGCTGCCCACGTGCCTGATCTCTCTGGGCTCCCATCCTAGTGCTCACATGCCAGGCCCTGTGCCCAGCCCTCCAGGACACAGTCATGACAGTCCATCGATTGAAGGTGTCCTGTGTGCTTAGCAGGCAGGTACTGCTTTTAGCCTCTTTCACGGAAGATAAACCTGTAGCTCAGAGGGACAAAGTCACTCTACTGAGCCACACACAGCAAGTCCTATTCAAATCCTGGTCTTTTCAATTCCAGATCTTGTGCAATCCCCACCCCCCTTCGCTGCCCCACTCTTTCCAGCCACTGCCCTTCCCATCTGTGGCAGCCTTGTGTGCTGCTAGGAGTCCCATGGCAGCGCTCGCAGGCTGGCCCCCAGCTTACCCTGGACAAGAAGGACGAATGTCCGCATGGCCTCCCCAGCTGCATTGTTGACTTTACAGCCGTATAGACCTTTATCTGACACCTGGGNAAGAAAGAATTTATCTTAACTTCATAAGGAATGAAACACTGACACACGCTACAACATGGCTGGACCTTGAAAACACGACGTTTCAGTGGAAGAAGCGAGACACAAAAGGCCACATAATGTGTGACTCCATTTATATGCAATGTGCAGAAGCAGCAAATCCATAGAGACAGCAAGTTGGCTAGTGGCTGCCTGGGGCTGAGGTGGGAGTGGAGGTTTGGGGGGAAAATGGGGAGTTAGGGGTAATGGGCATGGGGTTTCCTTCTGGGTAATAAAAATGCTCTAAAGCTGAATGTGGGGATGGTCTGTGAATATACTAAAATTAATTCAATTATATGCTTTAAATGGGTAAATTGTATAGTATGTGAATTATATCTCAATAAAGCCATTACTGGCGGGGGGTGTGGGGTGCAGGCACGTGTGTGCAGAGCCGGGAGGAGCTGAGTCTGACTGGGGCACATGTGGAGCAGGCAGGGAGAGGTGGGCTGGCCCCGGACCCCTCAGGCTGTGTTTCTGAGGACAACAAGCCATGAGGGGAGTCTCAACAGACAAATGACCCACTGAGTTGCACTTTTGAGCTGTCCTGTGTGGAGCCTGCATTGGAGGTACGGAGCGGGCCCAGAAGGCTGGCAGTGGTGGCTGGAACGGGAAAGGTCGTGGGTGGAGACAGTGGGCTGGCACCTGAGGCATTTACCAGCTGACAAGACCACCTGCCAGCCGACTGTCAGGAAGAGGGAGGGGTAAGGGCGAAGGCCTGAATGGGGGTGACTAAGGGCCAGGCTGGGATGGAGCTGAGTTACTGGAGAAGGAACAGCTTTGGGGGACAATGCCAGGCCCAGAGATGGGCCGGCTGCGCTCTCAGCACCCACACTGCATTTCTCTCTTAAGGGAGCTAAGGGTACAAACACAAGGAACCTGTGAGCCCCATGGAAGTGGTTCCCAATGCTGGGATTTCAAGGGCCAATAATGTTGAAAGACAAATCGGAGGTGGGCCAACGTGGCCCTGCCAGCCTTTGATTTTGCCAAGTAGGAACAGTTGACAACCAACAATTCCTGTTGTCATTTCATTAAATAAAGGAATATTAAGAAGGGTCCGATGCACTCACCAACGGGCATTCTATCCTTCAGCCAAGTGACTGTTGGTGCAGGGACCCCGGTCACATCGCAGGTCAGAACCAGGGGGCTCCCAGCCACCTGGCTCACTGTCTCCGTCTTGGGGTTCTCAAATGTTGGGGGTACTGCAGGAGAGAAGTCAGGTTCTCAGAATCTTAAGACTGCCCCCACTTCCTTCCTCTTAGGCAGATCAGGGATATTCGAGAAAAACCTTCCCTATGGCTAGGAGTTGACATTTTATACTTTGCCATTGATGGAGATACGTATTGCTCTATTTACAAATAGAGCCAGCAGCTGGCTGTTTCAAAACATCTACAAAGCAGAGTCCAGGAGGGGTCCACTTAGCCCAATGATAGTAAATGCACAGCTCACACACAAGCAGTTCGTAGCCTCTGCCAGGACAGACATCACTAATCAATCCCAACACTCTCTCCTGCCCCGCCAGGATGAAGTCATGCTCCCCAGGCAATGGTATTCAGTATGGCCCAGGGTTGGATCCCTCCACTGTTCGCCTGGTGGGAAGGCTACTGCTTTGCCAGTTGTGGCCAACAGCTGGAATCCCCCCAACCTGTCCTCCCCATCTTGCACAGCAATTTTAGCTGAGCACCCAGTTGCTCAGGTAGAAACTACATTTCCCAGTTTCCCTTGCAGCCTGCTGTGGCCAATTGCCCAAGTTCTCACTAAACGGGGTACAAGCAGGGGGGACAATACAACTTCTGCATCACTCATTCAAAAATAAAAATGCTTGCCTTCTACTTCTGCTCTTTTCTGCTTCCTGCAGGCTGGGACAGAATCCCAGCTTCAACCACATGAGCAGGGACAACACTCTCGGGGATGGGAGATCAGCAGGATGGAAGGGTCCCGGGGCCCTGAATTTCCAAATGGAGCCGAGCTATCTGCCAGTCTACACACTCACCTCTGGGTTTATGGATGAGAGAGGTAAACTTCTCTTTTATTTAATCCACTATATTTTGGGGTCTCTTTCTTTTCCTTTCTTTTCTTTTTTTTAAAAGATTTTATTGGGGAATTGGGGGANACACACACACACACACACACACACGCACACATATGCACTCTCCTTCCCTTCCCACTCTGTTCCTTGCATACACTGGCATATGGCCACCTCAGGGCCTTGAACGTGCTGTGCCCCCTGCCTGGTGCTCTCCCCCACAGAACCCACTCACTTCACCTTCTCACCTCCTTCAGTATCTGCTCGTGTCACCTTATCTGAGTGCCTATCGCTGACCACCCCAAAAGAGCACCCTGCACTACCACCGCCCATCCCTCACCCTACTGTATTTTTCAGAGCACATGCACCTTGTGAGATTTCATTTTTATATCTGTTTATTTTTCGTCCCCCTCCCGCCCTGCAGCTGCAGGGGCAGAGGCTTTATCTGGTTCATTACTCTGTCTCAGTGCCTGGAACTGCACCTGGAGCAGTTAAGAATGTGTGAAGACTTTGCTCGTGCATCTTCTTCCAGGAAGCCTTCCTGGATTTCCTCCACCCCAGGTCAGGCTGAGTCGGGTGCAACCAGGTGTCATCCCCTGAATCTGAGCCTCCTCCATTCGGCTGTGAGAGCCTAGGGGCAGAGGCCCCTTTCATCTCTGGAGTTCTATTTGGGGGTGGGGTCTTCTCACTTTCTCCATCATAAGCCTCTCTATGTTTATATTATCTTTATTCTAAAAACCATTCAGATGTATTTTTAAGCCTGTGAACAATAATATAAATGGGGATAAATGGGGCCACTTTGAAGCTGGAGCTGCCACCCCAGAGGAACCACCTTGCACATTCTATGTCTCATATCTTTGGAATGTTCAAACAGGGCAAAGTAACCTTTGGATGGGGCCTAGGGCAACACTGTATCCCAAAGAACTGTTTGCAAAGATAACAAGAGAGCAGTTATTATGACTATTGGACTGAAAGTAAAAAACAGTGTTTAGAATTAACATCACTATATTATGTTATCTGCGTGCGATCCGCTGGCCAGTGGGGCAGGGGGCTGCTCCCTTACCTGAGGATGTGGCCAGAGCCATGGAGGTGGGTGCGCTGGGAGAGTGGGAGGGGCAGGCCGTCCTTGAGCCAGCTCATGTGGATGGGTGGAGAGCCCCGGACAGGGCACGCCATGGTCACTAGCTCCCCAGACCTGCGCACCAGGGTCTCACTGCCCTCTGCCCCTTGCTCAATGGTGGGAGGCACTGGTGGTGGAAAGAGAGAAAAGAAGGGGCAGTGAGGGGTCCTGGGGAGGGGCCTGTGGAGGGAAGCGGTCTTCTCCGAGGGAAGTTCCAGGAGGCAGTGCTGGGGGAGGGAAAGCCACTGCACAGGGGGCACAGCCTCCCCCGTGGCTTCCTTCGCATCTCCTTTATCCCTGACTCTCCCGCTGCACCCCTGTGCTGCAGTGGTGGTGCCTCTAGTCTGAGGATGGAGCGGAGGCCCAGAGAGGTCACCCCGTGGCCTAGCCCAGTGTGGGCACAGCTGGGACTTGAACTAGGCCCCCCGCATCCTGCTCTCTTGTCGCCCTCCAGATGCCCCAGTGGAGGCCCTGCGAGGTCCAGGCTGCTGCAGTCCTGGGACGGTGGGGCCACCGGCTTCTCCTTGTCCCTTGTCCCTCAGCTCACCCAGCACATTCACAGTGTGCAGCTTGGCGTCCTCCCCGGCCGCGTTGTGGGCCATGCAGGTGTAGGCACCCGAGTCTGAGGCCGTCAGGCCCTTCAGCACCAGGGAGCTGCCGTCCATGTAGAACCTGCCACAGGGAGGGAGAGCCGAGAGCAGGTGTGTGAGGGTTGGGTAGGCCCTGCTACCTGGGCCGGGGAGGGCACAGGCCAGGCCTTACCTGAGGTGGGGGCCCACGCCCTGGCCCAGTGGGCCACCATCCTTCAGCCAGGCCACCTCGGGCGGCGGCTGCCCGTCGGCCTCGCAGTCCAGCCGCACCTCCTGCCCCTCCAGGACGCTATGCTCCTGCGTGGCACCCAAGCTCTGGATCCGGGGGGCCACTGTGGCGGGGGCTACAGTGAGGCCCGGGGCAGTGACAGGGGCCAGGGTGAGGGTGGGACGCAGGGAAGGGTGCAGGGTGCAGACATACCCAGCACGGCCACCACGAAGTCCTTCCGGGCCTCGGCCTGGGCGTTCTCGGCCA